GTGGATGGGGGAGGGACTTAGTGCTAGCTTAACACAATCATTCCGAGGTGCCTACACCTCCAGACATTCATTCAGGCAATCTGGACAGAAACTGACAACAAGAACGCCACTGACATGGGTTGGCAGCCATATCTTGTAGTGTCTCCAACCAGGTGCAGTGGGGATCACGTGGTCCCCGTCCTGGAAGGCGAGTAGCACCTACAGCACCCAAGCGTTTCGTGATCTCGCAACAGGCGGGATTCCGGTCCGGTAGGGGTTGCGTTGACCAATTCTTCACACTCCGTCAGGTGCTAGAACAACGTCACAGTCTAAGTATTCTTGGATTTCCAAGGTGCTGTTCTATTCTCCCTGACACGTTTGTCCATCTAGGGATGTCTCGGAAATATCAGACCATGGTAAATTCTTCGTATTCTCAGGCTTTTGGGAGTGTGAGAGCATACGGAGGGCTTTCCAAATGCTTTCTTGCACAAAGTGGTGTCCGTCAGGAGTGTCCACTAGCTCCTATTTGACCTCGTGATCGATGGGATAATGTGATGAACGCTAGGTCTTCGAAGCCCTGGTGTTCAAATAAGCGTTAACGAAAACCTTGTCGATCTAGAATATGTAGATGACATCTCTCTGGTCTTCGAAGAAAAGGATAAGGCGCAGGTGTTTTTGGATGAACTGACCAGGGTCATCCCGTCCTTCGGCATGCACGTTGCATCCACAAAATGTGACCGAGTTTGAGTGTTGCAATGAGTCCGCAGACTACACTGGTTTGAACTCCGTTGCATTAAGTGCAACAGTACCCGGACCAAGAGCAGCGAAACCTTTTACTACGAGCAGTTATGCTAGGAGAGGGTTTTGGGGTAGAATCGTACTCTATTGTTCCATAGGAGTGTGAAGGCAGTAAAGTGTTTCACCCAGGCGACCAGGATCTCTATATTCATGGAAATAGCGATGCTGCCTTCCCCCGAGGAAGGACGGGTTAGAAAAGTTGGTCCTAAAAACTGCACTCTCCGATCGCCCAACGATTGGCCATCATCATCATCAACGACAGCATGACATCAGTGTTCAACACCGATGCTTCACTGCCGTACAACCATGACTTACTTGAAAGCCTTATTGTGAAGAAAAGAATAAAGGTGGATGGGGGAGGGACTTAGTGCTAGCTTAACACAATCATTCCGAGGTGCCTACACCTCCAGACATTCATTCAGGCAATCTGGACAGAAACTGACAACAAGAACGCCACTGACATGGGTTGGCAGCCATATCTTGTAGTGTCTCCAACCAGGC